AAAAAAAGTAGAAAATAAAGAAACTTCCAGATTTGAACACAATCAAATTCAAAAGACATTTTAAAAAGCTGACTCATGACAAGCTAGCACACTGTATACGTTTTGAGAGGCTTCAATGAGAAAAGCCCAAAAGACTGAGAAATCCAAAATAACAGGCAGTGGAATGGCATTTCTACTTGCCTTTTAAGTACACAATCTGCTTTTCAGTATACTTTCTCCCTTTTTATACCTCGTTAATGCTATTAAGACTAGTTTCAATTCCTCAAGTACATATTCTAAGACAGAAGGGTGGAATCCAAAGTATGATCAGGAAAACTCAATCTGAGGTTTAAATATTTTTGCCTCTAGAAACTCTATGAACTTGAAGAAATGACGTTAAGTTAAATAAGTGTCTGGGTCTTTCATTCATAGGATTGCTATGAGTCGTTTATGACTCTACGGCACTTAACAACACAACATACTTATTAAGGTCAAGATGAGTGATTCTTAGAAAGATATTTTCTCAGCACTGGATCCTTTATATTTACAAATAAATACATAACGTTCAGAAGGTGTTGTTTTTTTTTTTTTATGAAAGCAAATGGAATAAACCAAACAAAATATAACAAAAAAAGCAACCAGGAATAATAACACTTACCTTCCAGTAGAAAGCTCCAAAAGCAAATCCAATTATAAGAGAAAAGAATGCTGGCAAAGCCATGGCTGCCCATTGTAGGTTGGAGTCTCCAAGGGACTTATCAGCCTTCCCTGCAATTTGAAAAACACAGAGGTGAATACAGTAGATCCATGCTAGAGTTTCTGTGGTTCCTTCCAACAGTTTCCCTAAAGCATTCTTGCCCTATTTCCATTCAAAGCATATGAAAGGTTGATTTTCCAGCGGGGTAGTGTTTTAGGAAAGCAAAACAAGTCCTCAGACTCTTCAAAAGATAAAGACATCTTCCAAAGGGAAAAAACTTCAGAAACTTAACAAGATTAGACTTAGCTAGTATTGATACATACAGAACACACACCTGGAATATCCCTGGTGGACCATGTTTTAAAACTAGAGCAAATTCATCTCTGATAGCTTTATCTTCTAAGGGCCTTTCACTCTCTCACTCATGAAATCTTGTACAAAGGTTGTAAAGATGACATTGTAACCAAGATCAAAGTATGTATGGATTAAGTCATGGTGTGGTCTGCCTCAGGTATTTAGTTGTTCTAAGGCTATTGTGGATTATATGGCAACATCAACAAAGCAAAAATCTACACCACTGAACCAAAAGACAGTATCATTAATTGATGGAGAAAATACTCAAAGTGTTAATTATTCATTTTACTTTAATCCACCATCAACATCCATGGTTAGCAACAACCAAGAAATCCAAAGACCCATTGAAACCTGCTGTTAAAGGCCTCTCCAAATACTAAAGAGCAAGGACATCAATTTAAAGCATAAGGTATGACTGATTCAAGGCATGGTATTTCCAATTGCTTCCTATTGGACCTGAAAAAAAAATCCCAAATAAATAGGTATTTGAGAAAGTGCAATAAGGGTGCTCCTTAGAAGCCAAGATTGTGCAACTTCATCTCACATTCTTTGGGAACGTGGTCAGGAGTCATCAGTTCTTAGGAAAAGACATCATGGTGGGAAAGGTAGTCAGCAAAAGAGGAAAATTCTCAAGGATATAAACTCACACTGGGATTTAACAATGAGCTCAAACAAGGTGGAGATTCTGAGTATGAAGCAGGCCAGGGAAAGACTCAGATCTGTTGTTTATAGGGTCACTATGATTCTTAGTTGACTCAATGTGTCCTAACAAGTCTACTGTATTGCATATTTTTAAATACTTGGTATTTAATATCATGGCTGTTTCTTCATTCACATCTTCAATAATCATTTATTGGATCCTAGGTCATGTCAGCATCAAGAGTCTGAAGAGTCAAGTTTCTTATGTTGAAAAGCCCAAGACCAACATCTAATAAGACAAAAGTGTCTCCCTATAGTCTCTCAAATAAGACATATGAGATTGGTTGAGACAACTTTTTGACCCTGCCTCACTCTTTCAAGAGAAGCGGTATGACTCAAGAACCAAACAAAACGTATCTTCCTTTCCACATGAAATTGGAACTTCTGAAAGATTCCTTTCTGTCTCCTTAAACAGAACTTAATTATTTGGGAACACTGACAGACATGTGCAAGTGTATAAGATCTAAATTATCCATTTTTTTCTCCAAAAGTGTTCTTAGGAATTGTATGCTTCCAATAATTAATAGTATTCAAATATAAACTAATGAAAGGCAAAGTTATTGTCTAAGGGTAATTTTGTATGGTGCTTATTTTTCTATTATTAAAATAAAATTTATAAATGATGCATAAGTTACTAGGTCAGCCTATTTAAATTATAACATTTCTAAAGGAGATAAAATAAACAACTATTTATGAATAAATGTTTACAAGGGGAAAATAAACTCATGGCTTTGAGAGGCAAGAAAAAGATATTACTATATTGTAGTGAGAACAGAAATTTCCCAGTCTCCCATCCCTAGTGAAGACCACTTTAAAATGTTAAAGAGTTGGGGAGCTCTGGTGGCCTAGTGGCAAGAAGTTGCACTGCAATCCCAGAGGCACAGGGTTCAAATCCACCAGATGCTCTGCTGGAGAAGGAGGGGCAATCTCCTCCTGTACCAGTCGGATCTGATTTGACGGTACAGACACAAAAAATACTTAAAAATGAAAAAAAAAATGCTAAAGAGCAAAGATGTCAATTTAATGACTAAGGTGTGCCTGAACAAAGCCATGATACGTTTAGTTGCTTCTCTCTTTTTTTTTTGTTTTTGTTTAATTGCTTCTTATGCATCTGAATTTATGGACAATAAATAAGGGTGACCAAAGAAAATAGATACCTTTGAATTGTGGTGTTGACAAAGAGTATTGAATATGCCATTGACTGCAAATACAATAACACGGCTAGTTAAAGGGTTAGAAAAATATATGCCCTCATCTGGGATCTAAATAGTTTGTAAAAGTGTCCTACTAGAAAAGAGTTTCAGAGTTTCCCATGTTTACCATTTAAGGAATTTTTAAACCACAATCTGTAAAAATGTAGGAGTTTGTGTTAGTATTGTATGACCATGTTTATTTATATTCTCCTTCGTGGCAAACATACTATGTCCTGCTCTGTCTACTGGGAATATTGATGGACAAAGATTATACAGTGGACTAGGTAATCTTGAGAAATCTTACATCTCACATGCACTGAGAACAAAGGAAATTAATGGTATTCCCCTCCTCTTCAATCCCAATGCAAAATCCCAAAAGGATAGTGGTGGTGTTCTCTGTAAGGAGTTGCACTAGTAACCAAAGGCTGCCTCTGTTGGTGGTTCAAATCCACCACTTCAGTGAACGACTGTAAAGATCCTCCTATACTATTCACAATCTTGGAAACTCCCTATAAGGTCAGCTATGAATCGGTTGTGACTCAATAGCAATGGATTAAGTTTGTTTTATTAATCTTAATTCTCTATTTGGTTAGTTAGACTTCTCTAGAATCAAGGTATCCAAATAGCCTGCTATACCTGCTCCACCTGATGAATTACAAAGCCTTCTGAGATTCTTCTGGGTACCCTTAACCACCAAAGTAGCAGCTGAGTACAGTAACTGTGCACCAGGCCAACAAAGACCAATACTGTCTGACTTTTGTTATTTCTCTTGTTAAGTCAAAGGCCATAAAAGGCACCTCCATGGCCTCCTTCTTTCCCACCTCCCCACACTCTCTCACACCCAGAAATAATAAAGCTATCAGAAAAGACTCGCCTATACCTCCTGGGAATAATTCCCAGTAAATGCCACAAGTATTATCACTGAGGATCAATGAGTTTTGAATTATGTGTATCAAGATTAGGATGATAGTTACTTGGGAATTAAGTAGAAGCTTTTGTACCTTGGAAATCACAATAATAAATACTGACAACTGAACAAAGTGTTTTGAGACACTAAGTAACTCTAGGTCAATGTATGGGTATTGATATTACCAAGAGTTCTTCTAAGACCTAGAGGAAAGCTTAAAATTAGTGTACGATAATGTATATAGGGCTATAATTCTCTCACTAGTTTCCCTATCGTGTATCCAATAACAAATAGCCTTCTGAAGTGTTAGTAGGTAAACACGACATTTCATTACTGCATGTTCTCTCTCCGTTTTCTAAGATAAGGCTTTGTGGTTCCAGCAGTTGTTTGCTCTGGAGAGTGACACCCACATGTTCCATCACAGTGGTCAAATCTTGTCTTGAATCTGGAAAGATGCCTTGCTCTAACCCAATGAGACCAACTTTTGGGGTTTTCACCCCTAGAAACTGTAATGCTTTCTTTAAATTTACCTAACTTCCCTTTAAAAAATAATTTTCTACTTTTCAAAATGCTTAATACCAAGGATGTAAGTTTAAAGGTCCTCTGGCCTAAGCCATAGTATTTCCAAATTCTTCATTTGCATGGGAATGCTGGGGAGGGGGAAGGAAATTCAAAGAAAAACTGATGCTTTTGAATTGGGGTTTTTGGTGAAGGGGGTTGGCTATCCCATCAGCTGTCAAATCTGTCTTGGAGGACAGTGCTCGTTAGGAGTAAGAATGTGGAAACTTCATCTCACATACTTTGGGTGTTTGAGTTATGAGGAGGAGGCAGTTCTTGCAAGAAAGTAGCAAGCCTGGAAAACTGGACAGTCCACAGAAGACAGGCAGACCTGCAATAAGATGGCTAGACTGCGTGACTGTAACAAGAGGCTTGAGCATGGTGCACTATATGGTAAGGGTCACAGGGCCACTATGAGTCACAGTCACCTTGATGGCCCTTTACAACTTCCTCTGCGTACAACCAAAGCACTGACATACTTCTGTTAGTAAAACACTCCAGAGCTCTGATAGCATAGACATTAGTGAGCTGCACTATCCACCCAGTCGTTATTTCTCTTTGGTGATTCAAATCTACCAGAAACTCTGAAGGAGAAAGATAGGCAATATTCTATGCAATTTACAGCTTCAGAAACCTGCTGGAAAGTCAGCTAAGAGTCAGTTCAGACTTGACAGCAAGCATTTTAGATGATCATAATATTTATTATATGTGGTACTTTGTGTCTTTTATGTATACCTGCTTCAGTTATCAGAACATAAGCTCAATGAAAGTGAGTCCTCAACATTAAAGCCCAGGTATCATGTTCATGTAAGTGACAATATCTAACCAAAAGATACTCACTATCAGTGATTCTTCATTTGTTTTTAAGAAAATTATTCAATAAATTAAAAACAATATACCACATAAAAGGAAAGAATCTGACCATCATCTTCTAATTTCAAAAGAAACCTTAGACTCTGAGGTAGACAAGATTGAAGAGGGTTCTTTTTCACCCTTTAACATTCAGTTTGCTTTCAAATTTAGTAGGACTTTTACTTCTAACAAGGAAAGAATAACTAATAGTAGACACAATTCACAGTCTAAATAACTACAATACTAAGAAAATTAGATGCTACAACTATTTTTAGACATTAGCCAAAGGTAGTTCAAGACTGTATACTTGACACAGTGGGGCACACAAAAGGCGAACTCCATGGCTACATGGGGGCGACTTCACACCAAGGCAGGGACATGTACCTTCTAACAGGGCTCAGGAAATCTCACTGAAATAAGAAAGAAGATGATGAAGTTTGACGTTGCTGACATGGTTAAAGAGTGTATGGAGAGGCTGGTGGGAAGAATGGGAAGTGTGAAGAGGATT